TGAAATGATCCATCAAGTTGTCAGCAGTACCATGGCCTACATTAACAGTAAACGATAAAATTTGTTATCAGCTCCTTCATAATCACTTAAACATTAGAACAGAAGGTAAAAGAAGAAACAATATTTTACCTAGTCCATAATAAAAGACTCAACACTCGCTAAGAAAGTCACTGTTGAAGTATCATGTAGTGACTTGGTTGGTTTTCTCATTCCACGACCTCACATGGCATCCATTTACTTTTCCTGTATTTTTGTGTTTAGGCTTTCATCAAACAATACAACAAAAGGTCCACTGACACTGTCTTGGAGCAGCTCTTTGAAGTGTTCAGCCAGACCAGATACACAACAATATGCTGCTTTTCGCTCTCCACAAACAAATTGCCTAGCAATTTGACTGTCAGGGAACATTGCTGAAAACAGTTGAGAAGTGTCCTTATCCTCGTCACATGTCCTTCTAAGATGGTTGTGATCTTGGAGTTGCATCGTCTTGAGGCGGCGGAGGGATTGTCATCACAGCTTGTTGTTATGATTGCGATGCTTCCGCCTTTCCTGCTTCAGCTAAATTTCCATTTCCACATGATACAAAACCGAATGAAGATAGCGTCACTGGCTGTTCACCTCGATTCTGCTGTTGTTTTTTTGCCTTTCACTTTTCATGTGCGATTTCAATGCAGACTCTCCCATGTTTGAAACGTCGATCATTCGATCACAGCATTTGCATAAGGCCTTTTCCTGTCAGCTTTAAACGCTGCCAACCAGCCTTTGTACTTGGAATTAAGTTCCCACTGCCGATTGTAAATGCAGTTTCCCCTTTGACCTTTTAAATTCATTTAAGACAAAATTAACAGGACTAGAGTCGAATAAGTTTCACACTTCGAACGACATTTCCCTCGTGGTTTCATTTGCTCAGGGGGGCGACACAATACACCTGGGAAACCCCATTGAATGCGCGGTTTCTTAGATGATTTGAATAAGAAACTCTGAATTGTCCTGCTAGAAAAAACCTCGCCGTTTTTGAGACGATAATTGAGTTTCTCAACTGATGTTAGATGTTAACGCAATCTCTTTAATCTTTCAAGTCAAAATGAACTTATTTTGCTGTATTCTTAAGTATTCAGGGCCTTTTTCATAAAATTCAAGCACTGGTTCTTCAAATTCAAGGGGTTTTTAAGAGAAAATCATTTCCAAGGAGTTTTCAAGGACCCAGCGGTTTTCCAAGGAGTATTTCAGGTACGTGCAAACCATGTACTTTTAACTTTTAAGTATAGTTTTTGGTTCTCAGGATCAAGAAAAAAAAACTGGAGGTCAATTGTGGGTGGCAGTAACTTCTGTAATTCCCTCACCTTCATCAAAATAAAGGTTGTACGCTTTCACACGTTGCAACTGAGATGTATAAGTGGGAGGACTTGAACTTCCACTACTGGACTCGACTGACTCGTTTGACTGAGATGCATTGTCTGTTGACAGCAATTCTTCTCTGGAAAGGGGTTTTTTCTTTCTGCTGGCGTCTCTGCTCCCTGATTTTCTTTAAAACTGTTTCCAAGACTGCTTCTTTACCACATCCACACTCAGGAAAAGATGAGCGTCATCTTTGACCAATTTTGCCACAAACTTGTCTACTTGGGTGGCATCTGCCTTATTTCTGTATACTGCTAAGGTACTTCCAGGTGGCCATCTTTTCTCTACTGCCTTTGTTATCATTTTTTCCTGGTAAAAGAGATTATTTATTAACAGACTGCTATTTGATCTACTTATACTTATTCTGTTAGACGGAGGACCACAAAATCATCAGAACTTAAGTTGACCATCAAGTGTACTATAACAATTTGGACGAGAAATTCTGCTCATAGCATAAATTATCATCTTAGTTTTTCATCTTTGTGTGATGTTCCAAGTGGTGAGAGGTTCTTGGCATTGCCAGTAATCAAGTCAATTTCATAAAAGCACAAAATAAAAATTATGTAACCATGATCCTTAGGTTAACTACCAAAATGGCACACAAGAGACTTTGCATCACTTTTTAGATTTGTACCTACTTTGTATTGTAAATGCTCTTTTCTTTGCAACTAAGCTACTCTCTTCCTTCTCTTTTAAGCAGCCTGTCATAATCCTTGAATGATGATCTATTGACCTTCTTTCTTTTGTGGCCACTACCAAAAGGGCAGGAGGTTTCTAGAAAAAAAAAAAGCAATAAGGAAGATGTTTTTTCGTCTTGTCGCGAGCGTCGACCCAGCCCACCGAAGAGTCTCAGTGGCTCAGTGGTAGAGCATCGGAGCGCAAATCCGAAGGTCTGAGGTTCGATTCCTCATGGGGACTCAGAATTTTTTCTTTGTCCCACGCTCGGGAAATGATGTTGAACTTTGTCGCTTTTAATTAATTTGTCGTCAGATTCAGATATTATCAAGCGAATCCTCTAATTTGAAATCGATTAAAGTTCGCATTCCATCCAAGGAAACGCAGGAAAAAATACTACAGGACAATTTTTTGACCTGCCACATAAGCATTTCACCTCTGCGAAATCGTCGGTAGATTAGAAGCGAAAACTGACCATATGAAACTTACCAACGACGTTCGCAGGTTCAGCTGTGGACGCAGACTTTGGGATACAATTTGCTCCACCTCTTCGTCATTCTCTGAAACAGGATCAACTGCTTGTTGACTGCATAGGGGCGAGGATCGAGAAGTCTTTCCTTTCGACGCCACACACGGCTCAACACGAATTTCTCTCCACAGCAAATTCGCCGAGGAGGGCGGGAAATTGGCTACACAGTTCTTTATACTAAGACTGCTCCCATATGATTGGTTGCACCATTCAGTTAGTGCTCTTTTAGGCGAGATCACTCCTTGCGGAAGCATTGTTTCTATCTGACTTTTTACCTTTGGAATCAGTGGATGGGGAATCTTTCTTGGATTGTAGAGACAGAAAGTCTTAGCATCAGGGTGGCATTTAGTCCTCAGCTTTCCCAGTTCGCTGAAGAGCGCTGTAAATTCGGCTTTGAAATATCTCGGCCCCGTGTTCACCTCTTTGACATCTTTTTCACCACGTCGTATAAGCCCTAGTTAAACACAGGCTCTCCTGCTGAGTAACGAGCACTTCTGATTATGCTCCACATATATAGGCTCGGTTAACTTTGATTGTCTGTACTTTAGTGTCGCATAGAACAGACCCTTCAGAGACAGTTGAGTCTTTCCAGGACCGTGTATAGCCTGGGATGTCTTTGTTAATTCAACATCTTGTAGTCACTGGACATCATCGCTAAGAACAGTCACTGCCGCCCCCATGTCGAGCTTGAAGCGTGTTTTACAACTGTTCACTCCTATCTGTGCAGACCAATAGTTCTTATCACTGTTGATCTCACCGAGGAAGTGTAAGTCTTCTTCCTCTTCTTCTTCCACTGCATGTACCTTTCTCGGATAAGGTTTCTTGCTGAGACAGACAGACTGGAAATGGCCCTTTTTGTTGCAGTTACTACAAATAGTGTCTCTAGCTGGGCAATACTTCCTGTGATGCAGGTAATTTAGTGTTAACAACTGGGTTGAAAACGTAAATTAGCCACCGTAAAGGGTAAAAAAGCTGACGTTTCGAGCGTTGGCCCTTCGTCAGAGCGATGGCGTTAGTCAGCGACTAACGACATTTAGCGACTATCGCTCTGACGAAGGGCTAACGCTCGAAACGTCAGCTTTTTTACCCTTTACGGTGGCTAATTTACGTTTTCAACCCAGTTGTTAACACTAAATTACCTGCTATACTCTCCCACCGACGCAGCACCACAGTTTCTTTAGAAACTTACCCCTTACTTCCTGTGATGGTTCTGGCGTCCACACCAAAAGCGGGGACGGCCATTCTTGGAGGGCTCTTTCATCAATCCTTCGTTTCAGTCACGTTTGTTGCGTTTTGCTTGTTGTGAGAGTGTGGCTGACTAACGTAATCGACTTCGTTTTGAGTTTCTACCCCATAGGCTTACACTTTGAAACATGTTTAAATATTTTTTGATAACGGAGGTAAATAAGTACTGCTTTACTGATGAACGCAACGTCAAGCAACATAAAAACTACCTTATTAAAACTAGAAGTTTTTAATTGTACATGTATTTTGTAATCCAAGTTCTTGCAACTAGTGTGACAAATCTTCAAATACCCTCATGCAGGGTGACAGTTTAAATTTGTTTTAGGTATAATAAAATATAATTAGAAAAAGATGTCGTGTCTGTCAAATAATGATTAGGAATCTCACACAAAGAAAACCAGGAAATAAACTAGTGGAGTATCATGATTTTGGTAAATTAAAAATGAAAACAATATATTTTTTAACTATTTCTATTATATAATTACCAGCTTCAGGGATAAGTTCAATGTTACTGGAAACCATAATAAGGGGGTAAGTTTCTAAAGAAACTGTGGTGCTGCGTCGGTGGGAGAGTATAGCCGGTAATTTAGTGTTAACAACTGAGTTGAGAACGTCAATTAGCCACCGTAAAGGGTAAAAGAGCGTTAGAGCGGTTGGAGGAATTGTGGGTTGTGTGTGGGTTTATATGCAGAAAGTGGAGCTACGCCATCGCTGGGAATATGGTGACGAGAAAACAGGAATAAATTGGTTGAATGGAAAGCGCTCGTTGATTCCGTTGGGATTAAAGAGTGCCGATTTGGAAAATAAATTTTTGTTCGTAAAACATGAAAATACTCAAATTAACCTCACTCGGGAAGACTTCAAAAGCTGTCTATGGAAGCAAACAGTGTATGTGGGAACAGTGCAAAATAAGTATTGGCAAAAGATGCCAGAATTAACGCAAAAATAGGGCAACGTGACCAAAATACTAGCTGTCTCAGCCGTCACTCATTAGCATTCAGTGTTTTGTTGCGAAATGTAAAGTATTTCACACCCTTTGTTTCACACACTTTTCTTGGCTTCTGCTTGTGTAGGATCAAAAGGAACAAAGGACGCTTAAATGCTAATACACTGTAAGTACTCTGAAGCTAGTGTTTTTTTTTATATAAATTGTCAAGAAGAAATATTTCCAAACAATCACAGGTGTTGTGATACCTGGAAAGCGTGCTGCAATCAGCGATGTGGGTGCTGTTTATTTGTATGTGGAAGGATTGAATGCTCTTCATCAGTCAGTGGCTGTGGTAGCTTTGATAATGATGGCACTGTTTTTAGAGGAACCTATGGAGAGTCTGGTTCCCATAGTTCAAGCAATTTAAGAGGGAATCGAGAGGAAGCTGAAGAAGGCGTAAGTGAGGATGACACAATGGAAGGCAAGGTCAGAGATGCCATTGTATGTGCCATATTTGAAGCACTTGATCTTTCACATGAACAAAGAGATCTTTGAAAAACTTTGAGGAGCTGCTAACAATGGCTAGACTCATGTTCTGACGAGACAGTCAACAAAAGATGGCCTAGTAACTGGTTTGCTGTGAGGCAAATCCTTATTGAAGAAGGTTATGAGGATGCCAAAGAGTACTTCATATGTCTGAGTGATGTACATCCACAATATTGGGATATTCTAGGATCCCAGTCAGACCTGTGCCGCCATTATGGAGATAAGGGCACGATTCCCTATTATTATTTGGGTCTCAAAGGAAAGATTAATTGTTTGGTATCACATCCTGATGTGTGCTACACAATGTTGTCATACTGGAGAGAAAAAGACCATTGGCTCAACAGACATGGAGGGTGTCATACAAAGAAAGAACTGTGGGATGGGGAGCGGTTTACAGAATTATCGTGGTTCTGGGATCCCGATTCTGAGTGGTGCCTGCCAGTTTGATGTCAGTACACTGGACGTAGTGATATAATTTCAGCTGAGACTATTTTATCAGCTTATGAAAGTGAAGATGGATACCGTGAAATTAAGTGTGATTGCTGTCAAAGTACTTTCCAAGTTCAATCGAAATACGTCAAAGGAGATCCTCCAAACATTGCTTTTGTGGGTAAGTTACAGTGGATTTGAAATCACAGCAAGCTTACTGAAAGCTCGAAATAAACGAATTGAAATACATCATTTTATCAAGGATGTTATGTTTCAGTCTGCTAATTCGTGACAAAGGAATATTGATGGGTTCTTTCAGAAAATGCTGTCATGTTTAAAAATAATGGCATGTTCAGCTATCCATTTCAACAACATCAATAACAGCAGTAATTCATTTGCCAATCGTTTCCTAGTTTTATTCTTATCGGATGTATTGAAATGCTGAAAAACGCTCTGTGCAATTATTCATCCTGTTTACTTTGTCTATTGTGCTATAATTCTAGGAGCAATTGATGTTCACGTTGCAACAGTCTCAAAGCAAGATGGAAAACACTCAGTTGAAGTATATGCTGTAGGATTTGTACCATCCTACCTATTGCAAGATGCTTGACTTATTTAGGCAGGGTGGCCCCATCAGCCATAGGCTGGTATCAAAAGGGGCCCTGCGTAAACTGTTACGAGAACATTTACTGATTTTTCCGTGTGCTTGTTTGGAACATATTTATTCGTAAACTTTTCACATTTAACCATTTCCAATTTATTCGAGTTCATTAAAGTTCTTCATTGCAGTAGTTCAAAAAAAAAATATATATATATATATAAAAACCACAGTAGCTTTTGGAATAGATTTTGCTCGTTACTCGCTTTAATTTACTTTAACTTTAATCGAGATACTCCTGAAACAGTAATAACTATACCAGGAGGACTAATTACAAAGAATAAAATTAAATAATTTTTATACAGTTTAAGATTTAACAATGTAAGAAAAACAAAGCTTGGATAAAACAATGGTCTTTCATTTGGTGTGGATAGGAGTGATATGCCAACGTGGACCATATAGATTTTATAAAACATAGTGCCTTGTGAAAGACGTCTTCGGTGATGGAGTGAATCCCAGCCAAGACTTTGTATCATAGGTGTAACGTGGCTATAACGCGAGTAGTCGTTAAAGACAAATCGAGCGGCTCTTCGTTGGACAGATTCAATTTTGCTTATGTTATGCTGCCTATATGGGTTCCATACAGAGGACGCATAGTCGAGTTTAGGCCTTACAAGAGTGCTGTATGCCGTGTCTTTAACTTTATAGCTACATCCACCCAACACTCGGCGCGAAAGACCCAGAGTTGAGTTAGCATTTTTGCAAATATTATCTACATGAGTATTCCAGCTCAAGTTGCTTGATATCATGACACCAAGGTACCTTGTAGAGTTAACTTTGGAGATATGCAGACCATTTACAATGTGTTGAGACAGGGTTGGGAACTTTTTACATGTTATTCCAAGATGATAACATTTTTTAACGTTAAAGTTAAGTTGCCAAGTTTTCGACCATGAAGATAACTGGTCCAGGTCGTTCTGTAAAGACAAACAGTCCTGCAAAACTTTGAATTTCGCTGTATACAATAAAGTCATCAGCAAAAAGACGCAAATTAGCATTTATACAGTTCGTGATATCATTTATATACAATAGAAACAACACCGGCCCCAAAATTGAACCTTACGGGACCCCAGACAAAACAGGCTTGGGAGAAGATTGAGTGCCATTTATGGAGACAAATTGAGAACGGTTGGACAGGAAGGCCTTTATCCATAACAGCAAATTTCCTCTAATACCGTAATAGTCCAATTTCAGCAGTAGCCTTTGATGGGGTACCGAGTCAAAAGCTTTCGAGAAGTCAAGCAGGATAGCATCAGTCTGGCGGCATACATTAATTGATTTGGCCCAGTCGTGTATGGTTGTTATCAATTGGGTTTCGCAGGAAAAACGCTGTCTAAAGCCATGTTGCTCGTCGATAATGATGTTATTTTTAGACAGGTGTTTGGCCATATGACTGAGCACAACGTGCCCCATTACTTTACAGCATATAGACGTTAAAGAGATTGGTCGGTAATTTGAGGGAAGAGATTTATTGGCTTTCTTATAAACAGCAGTGATAAGGGCCTTGGACCAATCTGAAGGGACCGTGTTGAGATTAAGTGATTGCTGAAAATAAATGCAAGCCATCCAGAAGCAGATTGAGATGTCTCTTTACAATACAAGTGCAGGCAATTCGTCAGGACCGCATGCCTTGTTAGGGTTGAGCTGGGATAGTTGTTTAGCAACTCCTTCGGGTGATATATGTAAGTCAGCAATCGAAGAGTAAGGATATATAGGAAATTTAGGTAAAGGTAATTGTTCATTCGTGAAAACAGAAAAAAAGTAAGAATTCAAGGTTTCAGCTTTATCTTTGTTTGTAACAAACACGCCTTGTTCAGTCTTGAGAGGTGGAATACCAAGATTCTCTGATCTGCTGAGTTTTACATAAGACCAGAACTTTTTTGGGTTTTCTGTAAGGCTATCACCAATAACGTCGTTTAAGTATGAATTGTGGGAGTCTTTAATAAGATTGGACACGGAATTACGTTGGCGTTTGAAAGCTTTCCAGTGATGTTGGTCTTTTGTTCGAACAAATTTTTGTTCTTTTTACGCATTTCACGCTTTATCTTAGGAGTGATCCACGGTAAACTAAACTTAGGTTTAGAACACTTTTGAGGGATAAATTGAGAGATTCCAGTAGTTACGGCATGTTTAAAGGAGTTCCAGTTTTGTTCCACCGAGTTACCACATGGATTCGAAGCAAAAAATTCTGATGATGACTTAGATATAAAGTCATTTAAACCATCAAAATTAGCTTTTTTATAAATATAAGCTTTATGTGGAGGTTTAGTGGAGCGAAGAGGTTTCAAGTTGATCTCGAAAATTACAGCAAGATGATCGCTCAAGCCGGAAGACGTAAATACATTAGAGACACTGTTTGGATAAGTAGATAGAAGTAGGTCGAGCGTTTTCCCAGATGCAGGTCTAGTTGCTCGCTTTCATTATGCACCTGCATGTCGGTACTTTTGTTAATCATTCTAGTGAAATTTTAGGTAAATATAAGTGTTAATGGTCTTTCTGGAAAAACTGGTTCTCATGGTAGTTGGCAGCTGAATTCATACTCGTAATTTTAATTTCTTTTCCTACGATAGGTTTCCACACCCACCTTGCACAGATAAGCAGAAACCTTTAATTACTTTTACACTTTTATTTCCTAAGCTGCTCTACTGTAATTAAGATAGGTATATTTCTGTATCAGAGCTGTGAATCCTCACCCAAATTTCCAATTTTTAATGGCCTCGAATTTATTGCATCCGTCTTTTTAATTTTGAGATTCTTTTCGTCGTAGAGACATCTAGAATATTTAAGTAGTTTTCGTTTAACTTCAAAAAGACCTTTCCGGCTTCTTTTGTTGTTGCTGTTCAAATATGGTAGATTGAGAGAACAATGGAACCTCACACCAGTTCATAGTTAAGCAAGTACTTTGTAAAGCTTTTTCGATTACATACATGACGGCGTGCCGATTACATACACGAATGACCGCGTGACGATTACAAGTTTAGTTCTGACTCTGGCATGATGTGTGTTAGAGTGCTCTACGAATAAAGTCTGCTGTGGAACCAAAAAAGATGTCTCATCCTTGACGTCCGTATAAGCTCGCTCGAAGCAGATCTCCGTGTGCCAGGAAATCGTGACGAGTTTCCGTTCTCGCCAGTCGAGTGGACTCTACCGAGTTAATTTCCCCCCGTTTTGTACGTTTCCCACGAAGTACAGTTTAGTGCGCGAAAACTTTTCGTCACAATTAAGACTACAAGATAAAAATTTTAAAATTTACGAATTACCTTAAAATTATGTACAAGGGGTTTTAAAAAATTTGAGTGAAAGGAAATCACATATCTATGAAGTACAACTTTTCTAGATCAATACAATAAAAAAAATCAATTAAAGTATGTCCAAGTATTATATTAATAGAAAACTAATGACTAAAATGAAAGCCAAGAGAGTGCTTAAAAATGGAAACTTACGTGGCTTCTTTTACTGGTGTGGGTAAGTCATTAAAAAGAACCGCGCCTGAAAATCTGAATGTATTTTTCCCTAACGTTAACTTTGGGTTCGGTAGGTGGATGTCATTCCTTTGTCTTATCGCGTAAGTGTGATTTCTAATGAAATAATTCGATAAATATGGAGGAACCAAGTCATTTAGACATTTAAAAACTGAGATTTGAGAACAACACGTGTGTTACCTGTCGAACTTCCCACTATATGATATGTAAATTTCCGAATCCCCCCGAGAGCTCCGGGAAAACATTTCTAACCGAACATTTTTAAGATTTAGTAATCAAATCATACAAATCGTTGAAATTTCCAAATTTCGCAGAAGGTAACAAATTACAAATTTACCCACCATGTTGAAAGTCATTGAATTCTTGCGCCTCGACGACTTATCTCTACATCGTATCGATCACGTTAGGAGTACGCGGAAGACGAAACACTTAAAGTGTTCTTTGAGACCAACAAAAATGTCTGCCACGCTAATAAGTTCGTTTCTTTAGAAGTCAAGCCTAAAAAAAAAAGAATCATTGACAAAACTCAAAGTTTGGATCGTAAAGAGCGGCCATTTTGTTACTCTGAAGTTTTGTCCTGTTCTACAGTGTAAAACCCGGCATAGTTTGCGCCTTGTCAAAATCTTATCCAGTACTTATCTGTTACTTTTTCGGTTTTATAAAAGATGTTATGAGCTGCCTGAAATTTTGAATTCTGAAGATTTTTTTTCACTTTTCTTCTGAGAAGTAGCGACCATTAGAAAAAAAAATAAAGATATATCATACCTGGTGCGTGTTAACAACGGGTTCTCGCTTTGATTTTGTCTTTTGGTCTTTATGAATATTTTACTGGGGTGTGGGATGTCAGTGATAAAACGCAACACACATCACTCAAGTGAAGAATATTAAACGTGTTTAATATTACTGTTCTTCTGATCACCTTCTTTAAATAAAAGTAAAAGCTCTTTTTACTCGAAATAATAGAAATATAACAAATTGGAGTATTATGTCCGATGCACAACTTTATTAATAAATTTCATTCCAAACAAGACTGATAGGACACACAGTTATCAAACAGATTAATGATCTCAAAAAATCCCAAAAACTGAATGTTTTGCGATTTCTGAGCAAAGGCTATTGTGCTCATAGAAAGAGTTATTACCGCTACACATAAGCAGCTAGGACTCTTGGTCATTACGCTTTTCGTCTTTTGTCCCTATTTCTACATCCATTCGCACAAATTGTTGTTTATGTTATTCTTCTGACCGTAGCAGTTTGCTACCGCCAGTTTATACTCTACTCAAATGATGTCATGTCATGTGCTTCACAAGTGGAAATCTCATAATACTTGGTTAATTGTTGCCCCGGAGGCCTGGTACATAGCTAAAAGAGTGTTGTGTTTTTGGCTGCTGTCGTAGTAATTAGCCATATCCAAGTAAGTTAAAGGTTAAAAAAAAAGTAGGTTTGACCGTTGATCATGAATGGGTACCACGTAATGGACTGGACTGGAACGGACTGGAAAAGAAAGAACTTGCTACTACCCCATTTATAAATAAACGAGTCAGTGTTATAGGAACTCTCAGAGAAGTAGTAGGGAAAAGCGAGGAATGTGTGACCATTGATGTTAACAGACTTTACGCCATATGCCCCGTAAGTTTGGAGAGACTGTAGTTTGACAAAGTGTCCTCCTGACCGTTTGGACACAGTGGACTGGATAGGATGGCTCAAACATTTTTCTGTTGACGCCTGGTCCTGGTACTGTTAAGAAGTGTGAAATCTGCTGAAAGTAAAATCAATACATCTCTTTAAATGTTTCAATTTTCAAAAGTGATCATTTATACCAATTTTTAACATGGCTTTGATACCCTGCTAAAGTTCCTTGGTCGGTCTTCTACCATGATACCATAATATACCGTTAAACACTCTTTTTATTGTAAAAGATGAATGAATAAGTAATAACAGGAAATTCATAAAATCAGACAATAGTATCTCTGACTTATTTTAGTTAGAGATTCGTAGGTTTGTCTATGTGTTAGGATGTCTCCTTAAAAGAGAAGGGGATATTTTTTGGAACAAATTTTCCAACCTTTAAACTGGTAAAGCGAATGTTTTGTGGCTATTTCAAGGCTGTGGTGTTGTGGTGTTGAAAATGATCACAATTTGGCATTTTTACATTGTACTGAAGAACAGACCGAAAAGTTCCATCGTGTCGAAAGCTCAGAGCCATCAAAGAGTTTAATTCTGAAATTAAAGAAACCTGTGCGTGCTCCCTGAGGTATTCAAAAGTTCATCTTCAGTCAGTTGAACTTTTTTCCTACATAAAAATTCCATTTTGTAAACTCACATAGCTTCAAAAACAAGTTCGTAAATGCTCTCGTCTTCTTTTTATTTTCTTTTTTATTATTTGCTTTCGAAAAGGTAAGCTATTTTAAACATTTCTTAAAACTCCCGCAATCTCTACACATAACTTCAAAAACAAGTCGAAAATTTTCGCAGAACTCCCGAACTCTTTGCTCTGGAATTCAAATCCTTCCTCACTTTACACAATCTAAAAAATTATGTCTCCGAGCTCATTTCTATGACTGTTAAAAGCGAAAAGAAAGAATGTAACCCTTGTTAAGAAGGAAGATCATAAACTATATAACAATTGTAATATTGTAGTCATGCTCTTGTCAAAGTCAACAGAGCGTTGATAGCGAAGAATGCTATAAGCTGCCTAAAATTTTTAATTTGCGAAGACATTTTCTTACTTACAGTTGTAGTACCGACCATTATCAACATTCTTGGATCCACAAAAAGTCTCAATAAAATGAAATTATCACCCCTGATCTCTTCGTTTCTGTAAAGAATTCACTAGGGGGTGGAGGTGTGATTTCTGTGACAACACACACACAACAGGTGAGCTGAGGGTATTTTAGTCCATTTAAGAATATTGAAGGCATCTAATAATACTTTTCTTGGGATCAAGTTTTATTAATAAAAGAGAAAGCTCATCACTCAAACAAAATTAGAAAGAAACCAGACGTTAGTATCATGTTCAATGCACAGCTTTATTGCTACTTTCACTCTTAAAAAGGCTGATAAACACTCATTTATCAAATATATCAATTTTGACAAACAATCCCTAAATCTGAACCTTTTTCTTCGATTTTGAGCAAATACTATCACTACACCAATGCATAAGCAGCTGAGACTCTTTGTCATTACGCTTTTCGTTTTGTGTCCCTATTTCTACACCCACTTGTACAAAGCACTGTTTATGTTGTACTTCTGATTTTTGTAGTTTACCACTGCCAGATAAATATGACCTTTGTACTCAAATGATGTCATATCATGAGCTCCATGGTTGGAAATCTCTTGATACTTGATGAACTGTGCTCCAGAGGCCTGGTACACAACTGACTGAGTGTTATGTTTCACGCTGCTGTCGTAGTGATTGGCCATACCCAAGTACGAATGACCGCTGATCACGAATGGACACTAAGCAGCGGCTCCACGAGTAGGAATGGATTGGAAAAGAACAAACTTGGTACCATCCCATTTATAAATAAACGGGTCAGTGTTGTGGGAACTTCCAAAGAAGTAGCAGGCAAAAGCGAGGAATGTGTGACCATTGATATTAACAGACTTCACGTCAATTGCCCCATAAGTTTGAAGAGACTGTAGTTTGACAAAGTGTCCTCCTGACCATTTGAAGACAGTGGACTGAACAGAATACTTCTGTTGAGAGTTGTAATAGTTGGCGAAAGCGATGAAAGTGACATTGGTTATTTCAAATGTCGTACAACCAAAGACACCTTCAGTTGCTATCTCCTGGAACTTGTTGAACTTGACGCCATTCCATTTGTAGATGACTGATTTTGTTGAGGGGGTACTTCCATCATGATGATTTGCCACTGTGAGATATTTTTCTCTACTTAAAGTGAAGAACTTGAAGTGTGCAGCTCCTTTTGTTGGTAATTTCTGAAACACCACAAACCGCCGTCCGTTCCATTGGAAGACGACAGAGTCAAGTTGGTGCGTACCATCCCAATGATAAGCCACGGCAAGGAAATGTTTATCAGCGACAGAAAAGTACTCAACGCCAAGTGCACCTCTAGTTTGCAGGGTCTGGTACAATGTGAACTTTTCAGTCGGTTCATCCATCTTGTAAACCACGGAACTTGTCTTGTGTTTCTGAATATCTCCATTATAGTTGCCAAAAGTGAGGAACAGACTTCCATTAAAGGTAAAATGTTGAACAGCTGCAGCTCCTCTGGTTGGCAAGTCTTGCACTTTCTCGAAGAAGTGGAAACCAGTAGAACATTCTTTGGTAAAAACAAAACAAATAGTTAACAGAGTTTGCCTCTCGTTCGTTGTTCGTTCGCCTTTTTACACATTTTAGCGAACCGAAGCTTCAACAGTTTCCACTTTTTCGGAAATTTTTATACGACATGCGAAACTGTTGTTGAATAATTGTTCACTGACAATAATGTTGTCAAGGCAACACTCCATCCTCTAAAACAACGTCCTTTTTTTCATTTTATTTTCCTGTAACTCAAAAACAAGCTCAGTGACCTTAATTCTCTATCACTGTAATGCAATCAGCATATGAGAACACAATTTTTTTTTCAGAGTTATACATAAATAGAACGACTTCATTTAGGGGGCTTTAAATCGCATGTATAGCAGAAAGATGAATCTTGATATACTGTACTGATTATAATTCAATGATAAAATATGAGGGTTGCCGAACCCGTCTTTTAGCCGCAGGTACATTAAGCTCAAATTAAGGATGTTTCCAAAATTCCGTATTCTTGCTAGTTAGAGTAATAAAAATAAATAATGATTGTTAAAAGATCAATAATTATCTGGTCATTTTTTGATGCCATTTTCAAGAGATCACATGACATGACATGTGAACTTGCACAATGCAATGAGTCGAACTCACTGCATTGTGCAAGTTGTTATTTTTCTGTAAGTTTTCACCATGCGCCGATCACACCTTATGAAAATTTTTGCGAAGAAAAGCTTTGTTTTTCCATGTGCCATCCTGAAATTATTTTAAGATGTTTATCGTCTTCTCTAGTACTCCGGAACAAAGAATATGTAGCACAGTGAACATCGAGTAAGAATTGGATCAAGATCGGAATTCACTCACTCACTCACTCACTCACTCACTCACTTATTTTGACGACAAAAACAAGTGAAAAATTATTCCTACCGACTTTGCAACACCCACTTTTCCCATAGCATGACCAGGAGCTCTGCAAAGAATCGTTAAAAATCTCGTTACCATTATCGTTTCATGCTTGTGTATGCCGAAGGACATCACAGAATAACTGAAAAAAAAGGATAAGTAATAGTAATAAAAGAAAAAGGTAACAAATTGCTAGTTATAATATGTCATTACTTTAGGAGCACTCTAGGACTGTTACACTTTTAATTGATGATTTCTATCCATTACATCCCTCCATACCAGGTCATCACATGTTCCCGGCATTCCTTTCTGTCCCTTTAGTCCTTGTGATCCTTTCTCTCCAACAGATCCCTTCTCGCCCTCGATGAAAAAGCAAGCTTAAAAAAGGTTGTATAGCACGGAATTCAAGGGGAGAACTCGTTTTTCTATTCAAGTTTATCTTTTAAGCTGTGTTCGACGAAAGAATTTTCCATAACACCCTATGAAACTTTCTTTAGAAGACTTTCCCCCTGCTGAATAATGACCAATTCCTACCAGGTCCTACCAGGGGTTCCTGGTCCTACTATTATCGCAGTTTTTTTCCCAGGTCCTAGTTTAACTGAATGATTCAGTGAACTAACTTTGGAACTAGGACTACAATTCTTTCCCTTAATGTATTAGCAACATACTTCATTGTATTCATTGACAGTGTCAATTCAGATAAATCTCCAAAACGGGGAAATTTAGAAGCAAGAGAACTCTTGCAGTTCAAAATAATGAAATGTTCCTCTTTGCAAAAATCAAACTCTATAACTGAATCTTCATGGCTGGGATACCTACAGTAATCAAGATTTAAACATTCCAACCAAATATTTGGTAACAGTTGAAGTGTCAATCAGATCAAAGCCAAAGAAAAATTAGGCAGAAAATCACTTAATTTTTTGCATTTGATAGTAAAAAGATTATTATATCCTTAAATTAAATATGCCAAATATAAATTTTACCAACCTTGAAGCTAGCATTTACATTCACACCGTGTATGCCTGGTTCACCTTTTGCTCCCTGGATAATTAAAAATGAATCGAAATAATCTCTCGATAACCACGACAACAGTTTGATTGATGTACTTATGAGTACACCACTAACAAGAAGAGGTACGTCATAAACAGTTCAACACATCTGTATTCTCAAGTCCGTTTCAAAGTCTTTTTTTTTTAATTATCGGTTTAAAAATACATAACCTTTGCTCCAACCGTCCCATCGCGTCCATCTCGTCCTATGTTGAAAATATTGGCGATCAGTTCAAATTGTGAAAACACAGATAAACGAAAACAGCAACAAAAGTCACGCCTTAGACAATCACATCTTCGACATAATCCTTCTTTTGTTTCAACTTTGTAAATAGTTTCACATGTTACACCTTCGTTTCCCAAGGTATCTATTATTGACAGTAATTTTCAGCCATTCAACCTCGTTGTAATATTAAATTGACACAAGTAATCATCACTTTACTAGGTTTTCGTTTCTTTTTCTCCCTAAATTCTCATGAGGGACCAATCAGTGAGTCAGCCAGAGGATTTTGGTGGTGTCACGATAAAATTTACCTGATCCTCCCCCAAGGCTCTGTAATAGTCTCATGAGTCCCCACCCCTACCCCCATTGGCAGCTGATTGGCAGTTATTTTGCTATAGTCCTCCCAAACCAGTCTGTTGGCGGTGAATGATCGCCTATCTGTACCCCTTTAAAACCATGTGATCCCCCTATAGTCCTTCCCCCCCCCAGCAGAAAATTAATAACAACTCGTCCCTACCACCTTTGTTTGTGAAGGAATTCGTGTGGAAAATATTTCCCATTGAAATAAAAAATTCACTTTGAATGAATAACTACATCACCATTTATTCCATCGCGTCCATCTTTTCCTGCATAAAAAGCAAATCGATTTCCTTTTGTTAGGTAGGAAAATAAACAGTTTTATCTTTATGGTGAAAAGCTATTTATTTTAAGTCAATAAATCTATGAATGAACCATAAAGTAACACTCACCAGACATTAACAGAAACCAAACATCAGTGAAGAAACTCGAATTTCTTTCTTTCTCGCCCATATGAGCAGATGTAAATAAATATATGCGTGTTACGGGTACTGAAGTATTTTTATTATTCTTATTACTAGGTAATCATCAATGTACTGAAAAAGATGAGATTTTTGTTCGAAGTTTTACCCACCATCTTTACAATATCCAGCTTTATAATAAAGTTCGGATATAACGCGCGCTTTCATTGGTTGAAAGAGCGTGCTCTATGAGAGTATAGAACATAGAACTGAGCTAAAGCTGTCACGCCATTTGCCAAATTGTACCATGTTCAACCTTTTCCGGGACTTCTTTTTAGCTTTTTTCCGATTATTGAAAGTGAAATTTCGGAACAAGCGAGCCGGCAAGTAGTAACAGAAGAACCAAAGAAAGGTTTGTAAACATACCAGGCGCCGTTATTTACGTTATTAAAACGTGGGCAGATACGAAAATCCTCAAAGGAAAAACAAAATAGACATTCCGAGTTTTAAAGATTTTCACGCTCAGTTAGCCTAACAGTTAGCAATCGGATTGCAAGTTTACGTACGGTAATGAAAATCAAACACAGCCAACACTCGTATAGTCTATAGAGTTCAGAGTTAAAAAACAAAACAGTACAAAACAGAAATGATGAAAAATATAACCAAACTGGCATAATTGTTAAAATTCATACTAATCATGACGGTGTCTGAGCAAATATGATCATGCTGAAGTCCATCGCGCGGCTCACTTATCATACCGATCTCCGGTCATCACAGTAAAGCAAGCCTCAGAAACTACATCGGCCGCCCTTCGAGTGAAAAAATAAGAGCTCGTTCTGATATCCTTTCCAATGTGTTGAGTGGAAAGTCACTTCAGTCACTGCAGCCGAGTTTTGCGGCGCTGTCACCCCAAGCGATCTTCATGTTCCGGTGAATTCGGCTGTCGTTCATTTAAAAAACACTCGCCTTGAACAGTTTGTTTTCTACCTTGTCATGTGAAAAAACCCGCGTGTTTTTATGAGCCATAATTCGGCTGAAGTTCACTGAACATTTCACTTCAAGATTCTGATTTAAAAACTTCAGGCAAAAGCGTTAAATTCGACCTGCCGAATTATTTTAGTTTGTAAACTATCACAGAGTGTGAACTTTGATGGTTTTTGAACTTTGATGGTTTTTGAACTTTGATGGTTTGACACTTTTGACAGCTTTTGTCTTGTACAGCCAATCAGATTATTTGAACCATTCTAACAGGGATTCTGATTGGCTTATTGTAGCGTGCTCTATGAGAGTATAGAGCATGCTGACGACACTGTTCTTCGCTTTGGAAATAAAGTTTGTTTTGAACATTGAAAGTAATACATGGGGAATTTAAGGGATTCTTTATTATAAAACAAATAGAGAAGCCTTGTCTGTGCTCTGTTCTGTTAAAAAGCACTTAGGAAGCGACAAGAAACTACGTCTCGTGTTTCTCCCTACACTTCTTTCGTGCTCTAGCCGCTTCCTGCGTGCTTTATAGCAGAACAGAGCACAGTCAAGGCTTCTCTATTTGTTAATTGAAGCACAGCAGTTTGGTTTTGTCGCTTTTCCATAATTCTGCTGAAATTTTTTAAGTAAAAATGAACAATGCAAACAAAAGTTATGAAATCAAGGGGGTTCTTGGGAATTACGCGCTCGAACAAAGCACAAAAATTCTCACTCTCACTCGAATGTCGATTCGAATACAATTCTCTCAAGCTGGGGTTATCAATTTGATTACCTGGTTCGTAGATTTGTTCTGTGATTTTGCAAACAAACTCAACAAAAAAGAAAGAGCCAACACAAAGAATAATCGAAACATTTTCACTCTCAGCGCCCTCCGATATGAACTGGTAGACGAATCAGTCAACATAAAGAAAGGGACTTTGTGGTTTTCGGTTTTGCAATGCTGGCACCTTTTCAGATCATTTTTTCTTTTTTTTTGCGCTGAAAATATTCAGTTTTTCGGTTTTGGTGTCTATAGGTTTGCGGTTTTTCCTTTTTTGGAATTTAGTTTTAAAATTACTGAAGAGAAACTTACGGTTTTTCGGATTTGGTATTTGTTTCTTGGTCTCAGTTCGTGAATTTTCATTTTCTGCGCGTGCTATCACTTTTGACGTAAACCTTTTTCTGAGGTGCAACCTCAGAGACCTTAGGCTTCAAAATATGGCTGAAAACGAGGTGAACGAGTTTGACAGGAAAGAGGGTCAAGAAGTGATCGTGGACTGTGTTGAAAACTGCGCCGTTTAGTTTCATCACAGCTTTTACATATTAGGACTGTATACATTCTACAGTCAATCCAGTTCGCGCGGAAATAACTGTTTTGAGTACTTACAATTACTGCGATCGAATCTTCCGACAAAATCTCATTTAACCTCTCAAAAGTTCAGTGTAGAGCTTTGATTTCTCGATGGACGTTTTGAGGGTTTTAATTAGCTCTTTTAAGAATGTGCGTGTCCAGATGATCAAAAATATCAAGTGCTAATTGTTTATCTTCTGTCCGTTCGCTCGTTTACTTAAACCTGTTTACTAAAGAGTAAGCTGAAGTGTCAGATAATTAGCTCAAAATATTAGAGCTGGGATAAACACAAAATTATCGAAAGGCAAACGGAAGGCGGAAGAGAAAGATCTAGATCGTTTGTTTACCCTTTTATTGTCACAGAAGCTTTAAAAACAAAAGACCATGTTCTGACTTTTTTTGAGACAGGAAAACTGAACTTCAACAGAAATATAAAAATTGAACGTATATTTCCAAACACTGATAGAAAACAAAACGACTCAAAACGTTCTTCGTGTCGTTCCTTTCGAGGTCATAATTTGCATCCTCGAGTAACGGGGTTCGTTCGCGCTTTTAGCTTTATTATTTTTTTTTTCAATTTCCCCAATTCAAAGGGGACAAATGGTACACCAAAATTATGTAAAAAAGTACAGGTCACCGTTCTAGTTCAAGAGCTAAAGAGAATTGTTTTCCTCTACCTGGTCCATTGATTGAAAAACAATACGGTGTTCTCGGAATGCGTGCCCGCTTATTCGCTTGATTACGTGATTTTTATGCGTAGTAGAGGATGCCGCGTGCAATACCGAGGAATCACATCGGAAAAAAAATTTGGGGGTCACAGTTTCGGCGAAAACCGTGTGTCATATCATATTATATGTCAAACCACTGAAATACTATTATTTCACTATTTAGTATTTTGGTTTTAATTTGCGAATTACAGCCAATGGCCCAGGAAGGAGGGGGACTCCATTGTTTTCGATTACATGCCGGCGTCGATCGATCACTGCCAGAAGATAAGAAGCACTTCGCTTGGTTTGCTCAGTCTAGCAAAGGACGCCATTAGTGGCTAACAAAGAGAAGGTCAATACCTGCATAATTTGGGTTATTATTATCTACTTTGACGTCCGCCTGCGAGGTTTGTTGGATATATATATATTGCCTGTTTGTTTAACTGTTTGATAATTTCAGAACGTGATCGTGCGTAATTTCATTGATTAAAATTCCGGGCAAGTGCGCTGACCGCCATATTGACTTCGGAAAGTACCAAAACAAACTAAAACTAAGATAATTTTCTCTGTAAGCTCTGGACAGATCGACCTCAGAGGAGTCAAGAAGCAAGCCACGTGGAACAGCCACAGTCAAACGATATCCGTGTTTTTGCTCCTGTTCCTCCTGACAGTGATAATTCATCCCACTGAATACACAAGTTTATATCTAACGTAACAAGGCAGGTACCAGAGTTTGTTAATGGCTATTGATATCACAAGCGCCCGTGCATATATTATTCGAATTCAGTTGCTACACTCCACCTATTGTAGGAAGGCGACTTGGTATTCAAATTGAACCCTGGTCCAACATCAAGCTCAATTTCGTCATCAAAATATGTAAGATAAGAAAAAAATCCATGACACTCTAATAACCAGCATTTTTCATTATGTGTTTTAAATGCTCGCTCAATCAAGAATAAGAGTGCTGACATAATGGACCATGTATGTGATCACAAGTTTGATATTATTGCAATTACAGTGACCTGGATCCAATCCAACGATACGGCAGTAAGAGTTGAACTTTGCCCTTAAGGTTACAAGTTCCTTGACCATTCACGCGTTGCCTGACGTGGTGAAGGTACTGGCTTTTTGTATTGAGATGCCTTTGTTGTAAAGAAAGTTGATGGCGGTGTGAATAATTCTTTTGAATCCTCTGAATGGACAATTAAATCTCCATTGCATAATTTGCGACTTGTGGTTATATGTAGACCTCCGTCTTCTCTGTCTTCTCCTAGTGGTCAATTTTTGAAGAATTTTCAGACTATCTTGAATTCGTTGTTTTATCAAAAGAACAGTTGCTTATTACTGGTCATCTGAATATTCATGTCGACATTGTTGATGATCCTGATGCAATTAAGTTCACTGATCTTCTCGAGTCTTTCTGCCTTCAGCAGCATGTTACAGTTCCAACTCATCAACGTGGCCGCACGCTGGATTTTATAATATCACGACGCTCTGAGAGCATTATAAAGTCTACCCTAGTAGCTCACTGTTTTATCTCTGATCACGCTTCAATCACCTGCTCATTACTACCAGCTAAGCCTACCTCAAAAGTTAAAACGTTATCCTACAGGGAAACAAAATCTGTTGATTTTAAACATCTTTCCGCTGACATTGCTGACTCTGATCTTCATAATATGTCTGAAGTTAATACTACATCTTGCGATCAACGCCCAGATGAGCTTGTACAGAACTGTAACTCTACTCTATCTCATTTACTGGACCGTCACGCTCCGCTGAAAACTAATACTATACTTGTGAGACCATCAGTTTCGTGGTATACTGACGAGACTTTTAGTCAAGGTTGCGAAAAGACGTCGAGGGAAAGCTGGAAGAGTTTGGAGAAGAACTAGACTGGAATCTGATTTTAACATTTACAAAACCAAGAAAAACCATATGGCATACCTTTGTAACAGAGCTAGACGCGATTTTCATACTAACTTTATCAATGAGAACTGTGATCAAGGTCGACTTTTTTAGAGAATCTAAAAAGGTTCTTTGTCCTTAAGACGAACTGTACGTCCTTCCCTGATTATCGCGATTGCTCGGTTCTTGTAAATGACTTCGGTAATTTTGCCAGAAAAATAGGAAAAATCAGATCAGACCTTGACTCAGTCAATTTGGATTTGAATGAGGATCAAATTGTTCCACAGGAGTTCCACCTGGATGTTAATAATAAGCTTCCTGAACTCGAAATCCTTGTTGAAGATAACGTGCTGTCTCTCATTCAATCTTCATCAGTCAAATCTTGTTTACTGAACCCAATGCCTACACCCCTGGTGGTGGTCCGTGTGGATGTACTTCTTCCTGTGATAACGACGCTCAAGGTCCAAAATGACATTCTTCCTAGTATGGATAAACAACATTGACTTTGCTTGTGCTGCTCGATCTTAGTGCAGCGTTTGACACCATACATCATAACATTCTTCTGAATCGGTTGGAGTCTAGGCTTGGGATTACTGGCTGTGCTCTCAAATGATTTTCCTCGTATCTTACCAACAAAACCTAACGTGTGCAATTTGGAGGGTGTCTTTCTGACAGTCTGTCGTTACCATACGTTACCATAGCTCTTTCCTATAACAAGTAGATTCTTTTAAGGTTTATGAAGAACTCCATACTACATTAATTGCAGCAAGTAAGATATAGATAGACTAAAGAATAATACAATAAGAGAAGAGATTTGCAAGGTACGTGAAACCTTGCTTTATATAGCATTCCTATTGTTTTAGTAATTTGTGTACAAAAAAAGTTAATATGCATTTTCCACGCAAACACCTAAATATTTGATTTGTTCAACATCCTCAGTAATTGTGTTATCAATTTCGAGAGGGCTTGTAGCTAGCATTTTTTTTTTTGTTTAGGTCTAAAAATCATGATCTTCGTTTTTATTCACGTTAATGGACATCTTGTTGGCTTTTAGCCAAGTCGCAACATGACAAATTTCATCGTCGAGGTTATTCATAGGAATTTTAGGATTCCGGTTTTGGTAAAAAATGCTGGTATCTTCGGCAAATAGTAAACATTCAGCGTCTCTTATGCAAATTAAAAATAAAGAACAGTGGGTCTGAAATGGATCCTTGCGGGACACCGCAGACAAGTCCTCTTTCGCGTGAAGGTTTCCGATTGAGTGTTGGATTTAGCAACCTCATAGCTATCGTTATACTCTACATTAACAAGAAAATAGACGAACTTTAAAATCATTTTTAATGTTGATGCAAGTTTCAAGGGGAAGATGCACCATCTGTACAATTATAGATAATTAGTCGATTCAGCTTCATTGAATACTTGTTTCAGTACAACTGCTTAGGAGCTTTAGAATTCTGTTGTAAATATATTCGTTTTGATGTTGAAACCATTTTGTTAAATTGTTTTGATTATTCGTACTTTTGTGCTCTTCGGAATTAATTTTTCTCTATCGCATTAATCATTTCCTTGGTAACGCTGACAAAACGCGAGGCAGACATTTTGAATTTGGCGCTCCTGTTGTTATCACCTCGCGTAAGGTGATTATAGCGCGATATGAAGCAATCCTCGACTAATTAGGGAGCACGAATCTCTATAATTACCGGAGCAATCACGCAATGGTTATCATTATCGCCATAACAATAATTACAAAATATTACAACCATTATTGGCATATTTAAAATAGTATTAATAATATATAAAGATAGGTGGGCGTCGCTTCATAAAAATATGAAGACACAGGGTGTATGGAGAGCACGAACGTTGCGTAAGCTAGCTTCTTGAGAGCCTTCCGAAAACTCCCAAGGGCTACTGATTTCGATGAGTGTTAATGCATGAATTAATATTTAATGTAGCATTTTACAAAAGATGAGTCAAGTGGTGAATTAGTGACCGAATAACGGTATGAATAAATGAAATGATGAATTAATGACAACATAGCCTGTCCAAACCGTCCTTTTATTCATTTTAATTGTTCATGAAATACATTTCATAATTTCATTCTCAGCCTTTCTTAACTTTTCGGCAATTAGGATTTTCTGGAAACAAGGTGATTGCTGGTCCACCAAAGCCCTGGACACCAGTAAGAAGAAAGCCTTCAAGCTGTGGAACTGTCACTTGAAACATGTTGGTTGCTGTTTTACTGTAAAGGTTATTTCCTATAACAGCAAAGGCTCCCACTGCACCCTTGAAGGGAACGATGCAACATCCGGCTGTCCACATAGAATTCGGGATAGCGATCTTGTCTCCAGACGGTTTCATGAATTTAAGGTTCTTCTTAACTGCGTCCAAAGCTCCATGTTCATTCTTCTTGATGTGAGCTTCCGAGATTCCTGTGATCAGGAACAAGTCCCCCCCATTTTTTCCACACTTCTGACTGGCATAATTTCTTATTTTCTTTTCATACTGTAACCATAGTCCGCTGTTAAATTTCGTTTTCTGTGGGACAGCATTTGTGTACGTGAAAGTTGAATCAAGGTGACTGTCAGTAAAGGAGTATGTTTCTTTCGGAAGAAGGTGGCCCCTAGCATAAGTGGATTGGTTTTCATACGCTTTGTCGCTGGCTTGATGAGTGATCATAGCTGGAAAGTTAAAAAATAATAAGAAAAACTTACTCTGGGGGTCATGCACTTTACATGAAAATTCACAAAAATTGTTCTTTTTTAAAACAAACAAACAAACAAACAAACATCATTTGCTTTATGTAAATGCAATTAAAAATACTTTTTTATCAGGCTGCACTTTGTTTTGATTTTAATAGTAACGGGGTAGCAGGTCTCTAACATTTGATAGTCTAAGCTGACCGTCCGGCTGACGTTTCGACAACCTGAGGGGAAGTCATCATCCGAGTCGAGTGAATGGTCGTGATTGGTCGGTTTCGATCCGTTGGACACGACGGATCGGAACCAACCAATCGCTTACGCTACTTGAGTCTTACACCCAATAACATCACGGAAAAACTGACCAATCAGTCTCTACGCGCCGGATTTAGAATATACGACTGACCACAACCATTCACATATTACTCCCGGGTTCAAACCATTTACTGAATTACAATAACGTATCAATGTTATGGGTAATTGTTGTTGCCTCTAGAAATCTTCAGGCTGCTGAGTTATGCTGATTTGTAGAACTTACCAGAACATTTCATCAAGTCACGCATTTATTATATAATACAACTAAAATGGTTCTTATGTAAGCTTCTGGAATGTTCCCGAACACTTTGTGAATATATGTAAAGACTCACTTACGTAGTAGTAAGAGTGGTTGTTGTTGTCGGAGCGACGACTGTTTTGAAAGCTATACCGAGAGAGAGTTACTGCGGAAGATTGCTCATTTCAAGGAACTTTGGAGACAGCGGTGAGATTGTGTCAATGGTGAGCTAGGATATAGACTGTGTTAGGCTTAATTAAGTCTATTAGCTATAAGTATTGTACCACTTTTAGGAGTCGCCCCTTGTTAAGAACATTACTCGTTGTGAAATAAAGTAGTTGAGTTTGTGGGATGGAAGTGTTTTTCTGTCGGTAAGATTATACCGTACCAGAAATTCGGGGCCTGTCATGAAACGAATTTTTGTAGTGGAGTTTATTGTAGATCATTTCGAGGAGAAGTTACTATCTGTAAGAGTGTTCATAATGTATAGCAATATGTCACAGTTTAATCCAGAAGTATTTATGTCAAAGCCCGTTTGTTTTACGATTTAAAGGAAGATGAGCTTATTTTATTAGCGGAACACTTAGAGCTAGAGGTTAAGAAAGCAATGAGAAAGCATCAGATACAGATTATCATAGTAAAACATTTAGTAAATGTTAAGGCTTTCAAAGAAACATTGTTGGAAACAATGTCAGAGACATGTAGGGCATACGACGTGGCAATGGAGAAACTGCAATTCGAGTTAGAACTGAAAAAGTTAGAAATGCAAGAAAGGCTGGAGAGAGAGGAAAATTAGAGACAAGAAAGGATGAAAGAAAAGGAGAGACAAGAAAGGATGGAAGAAAAGGAAAGACAAGAAAGAATGAAAGAAGAGGAAAGATATGAAGGATGGAAGAAAAGGAAAGACAAGACAGGGTGGAAGAAAAGGAACGATGAGAAAGGATGAAAGAAAACGAAAAACGTGAAAGGATGGAAGAAGAGGAAAGACAAAAAGGACGGAAGAAAAAGAAAGACAAGAAAGGATGGAAGAAAAAGAAAACAAGAAAGGATGAAAGAAAAGGAAAGATAAGAAAGGATGGAAGGAAAGGAAAGGCAAGAAAGGATGGAAGAAAAGGAAAGACAAGAAGGATGGAAGAAAAGGAACGACGAGAAAGGATGAAAGAGAAGGAGAGATAAGAAAGGATGGAAGAGAAAGAAAACAAGAAAGGATGGAAGAAAAGGAAAGACGAGAAAGGATGGAAGAAAAGGAAAGACAGGAAAGGATGGAAGAAAAGGAAAGACAAGAAGGATGGAAGAAAAGGAACGACAGGAAAGGATGGAAGAAAAGGAAAGATAAAAAAGATGGAAGGAAAGGAAAGACAAGAAAGGATGAAAGAAAAGGAAAAACGTGAAAGGATGGAAGAAAAGGAAAGACAAAAAAGGATGGAAGAGAAAGAAAACAAGAAAGGATGGAAGAAAAGGAAAGATACGAAAGGATGGAAGAAAAGCAAATATAAGAAAGGATGGAAGAAAAGGAAAGACAAGAAAGGATGGAAGAAAAGGAAAGACAAGAAAGGATGCAAGAAAAGGAAAGACGAGAAAGGATGGAAGAAAAGGAAAGACAGGAAAGGATGGAAGAAAAGGAAAGACAGGAAAGGATGAAAGAGAAGGAGAGATAAGAAAAGATGGAAGAGAAAGAAAACAAGAAAGGATGGAAGAAAAGGAAAGACGAGAAAGGATGGAAGAAAAGGAAAGACAAGAAAGGATGGAAGAAAAGGAAAGACAGGAAAGGATGGAAGAAAAGGAAAGATAAAAAAGATGGAAGAAAAGGAAAGACAAGAAAGGATGAAAGAAAAGGAAAAACGTGAAAGGATGGAAGAAAAGGAAAGACAGGAAAGGATGGAAGAAAAGGAAAGATAAAAAAGATGGAAGAAAAGGAAAGACAGGAAAGGATGGAAGAAAAGGAAAGACAGGAAAGGATGGAAGAAAAGGAAAGATAAAAAAGATGGAAGAAAAGGAAAGACAAGAAAGGATGAAAGAAAAGGAAAAACGTGAAAGGATGGAAGAAAAGGAAAGACAAGAAAGGATGGAAGAGAAAGAAAACAAGAAAGGATGGAAGAAAAGGAAAGATAAGAAAGGATGGAAGGAAAGGAAATATAAGAAAGGATGGAAGAAAAGGAAAGATATGAAGGATGGAAGAAAAGGAAAGACAAGAAAGGATGGGACAAAAGGAAAGACAAGAAAGGCTGGAGCTCGAGAGAGAGAGAGAGAGAGAGACTGGCATTGCAGCAAGAACCAGAAAAGAAAAAGATAGAGGTGCATATGAAATTAGGGTTAGACGGTAGCAGTTAAAAGTCAAGTGAGAAATTTGATGTCGCTAAGTATATTGAGTTAGTACCTCCATTTCAGGAAGCAGATAATACACACTTAAGTGTAAAGCAAGCTGCAAGTTATGACACTGTTAAGGATCTTATTCTCAAGGGTTATGAACTAGTTCCTGAGGCTTATCGTCAAAAGGTTCGAAACTGTGAGAAAGTCAGTAGTCAGACTTATGTAGAATTTGCTAGAAGTAGGGAACAGTTATACGATCGTTAGTGCCATTCACAGAGGGTAGACAAGAGTTACGATAGTTTAAGACAGCTAATTTTAATAGAGGAATTTAAGAGGTGCATTTGCGGTGATGTCCGAACGTTCATCGATGAACAAAAAGCGGAGACGTAAGAGGACGCTGCGCGATTAGCGGTGTTACGATATAATCTTACCGACAGAAAAACTCTACAATTCTACAAACTCAAATACTTTATTGAACAACGATTAATGTTCTTAACATAGAGCGAATACTTAAAGCAGTACAATACTTATCGTTAATAAGTATATTATGTTAATTCTTTAAGTTTGCTTGTTGTTATTCACAGTCATCATAAGCTCCTTGTCTTTGTTCATAAGTTGAAGGCCAAAAATCAACGATTGTTGAGGTGGAGTTTAATGTTACATTGCAGGTGCGTAGCTCCCTTTAAGCCAGTATGCCCGGACTAACAAATTTTTCTCGGAATATTTATTTTTTCTTAGAATATATACATTTTAATTTCATAGAACTAGTTTTTTGGTTAACTGTTAAGAAAACGTACAAGGACATAAGGTTGCAATAAAAAAAAAACCCACTCATGGAGACCATTTAAGTACTCGTGTCTCCAACCTTCTTTTTGGGTTTCTTTCCTACGTCTACTTCTATATTTAGTTTGCATTTGAATGTAACGCTTGCATCAGTGGTTGTGGGTTTTGTTGAAAGTTTTCAGTGTTTTATATAATATGCGAAGCAGTGCTTTCGCAGTATTTTTATCGGGTGAACGTTTCTAGGTCCTTAACGTATCAATTTTATATTTGCAGAAATATTATTAAAATGCCCAAAAGTAATAATGATAGCGAAAAATTGATTGGTTTCTGATTGGCCGCTTCAAAATGATTGCAGAAAATCACGTCAGAAAAAATGTTTGGATTGAGCTCGTGTGTTTGACCAGGCAGCGGCAATTCATCGTATCCATAGGCCATTGCAAAAGAAAAATATGAGAAAATATGGCGTCCAGCAACCGCAACATTACATATTTTTTCCGTCCTGTTGGAGCGAGAAATTCGATATCCAGGGCGATTTGGCGGACGCTTGGCAAACCGCGACAATTTCTCACGTAGGCCAAGTTGAGAGCGAGGAAGCAAACACAGCACTCGCTTCGTCTCGTTCACTTGCCATCATATCTAGACCTTGGAGTGTTAGGTGATGATGAATTGAAGAATGAGAACAAAAGAATTAAGTTGCGTCAAGAGGCATGGCCAGATTGTCAAAAGTTCCAGTTTCCAGCGAGATTTATTCGCAATAAACAAATAAAGCTGAATCCCCAGTGGCTTTTAAACAATGAATGGATGCAGTATTCCATCTCTAATGACTCGGTTAGGTGCGTTTATTGCGTGTTTTTGGTAAGCAGGAGAAAGTGTCTCAACAGGAAGGATCATTTTTTTCTACAAAGGGTGTGTTAGATTGGTCTAACATTGGGAGGCTGGTGAAGTTATACACCTGCGAGTCGTCTCCCCACCATGACGATGTTATTAAGGGTGATAATTTTGTACACATTTCAAGCGGAAACCAAAAAGATATTTCCAGTCATCTCTCCTCACAAATTAGTAAAAATGTTGAAAGAAATCATTGATGTAGTAATGCTGTGCGGCAAACAAAATTTTGCGCTAAGAGGACACAGGGAAGAAAACAACAATTTTCTTACCCTCCTTCAGTTTAGAGCTAAGACTGATCCTTTCCTTGCATGTCACTTGAATAGCGATGAAAGCAGAGCAATTCCAAAATACACTTCGCCGGATATCCAGAATGAGCCCATTGAACTATGTGGCGATTACCTCTGTAAGTTATTGTTACAGAACTGCAACAGTGCCTCCTTTTTTGCTTTCTTGGCAGATGAAGCTACACATTCTGGAATGAAGGAGCAGATCTCAATATGTGTACGTTTCGTGCACAGAAAGGAAGGAGAAAACAAGGTAGAGGTGAGAGAGAACTTTCTATGGCTCGTAGAGGCAGAAAGCACGAGAAGAGTAGCACTAGCTGAAAAGTTCATGAACACCCTTAATGAGTTTGGAATTGACATCCATAAAATGCGAGCACAAGGATATGACGGTGCTGCAAATATGTCAGGAGTACACAAGGGGAGTACAGGCCGTCATACGGCAACAGGTATCAGAGGCAGTGTACTGCCATTGTAAGGCACACTCCCTTAATCTTGCCATTGGTCATGCTTGTAGGGGGCCCTTGATACGCAATATGTTAAGGTGAATGTCCCAGCCACAAAACCAGAGTCCTATTGGCAAAGAGCTGTATACCTCCCTCTTATTGAGCACCTCATTCAAGAAATGAACGACAGGCTCTTATCACAGGAGGATCGCTTCCTAGCCCAGTATCTTCTCCCAACCAACTTGTGAGGTATGAAACAGGCCTACAAGCCAAAAATGACTTGCTATGCCCCCTGACAAGAGTGTGTTTTGGACATCGGACACATAGAAGGAAAGGACGATGTTATTGCTGACTGTCTCTTAGGAGTATAAATTTGCAAGAAAGAGGGCGGGTATTATGGATAATTGTTGTTGCCTCTATAAATCTCCAGACTGCTGAGTCATTCTGGCTTGCATACCGTCAAACGTTCCAGAACATTTCATCATGTCACGCATTTATTACGTAATACTACTAAAATAGTTCTTATGTAAGCTTCTGGAATGCTCCAGAACACTTTGTGAATATATATAAAGACTCACATAAGTGGTACTTATGTAGAAGTAGGAGCAGTTGTTGTCGTCGGAGCGATGACTGTTTTGAGAGCTTTACCTAGAGAGAGTTACTGCTGAAGATTGCTCATTTCAAGGAACTTTGAAGACAGCGGTGAGATTGTGTCAGTGGTGAGCTAGGATATAGACTCTGTTGGGCTTAATTAAGTCTATTAACGATAAGTATTGTACTACTTTTAGGAGTTGCTCCTTAGAACATCACTCGCTGTTTAATAGAGTAGTTGAGTTTGTGGGATTGTAGTGTTTTTCTGTCGGCTAGATTATACCGTAACTAATGACCCTAATGACCCTGAAGTTTCGCCTTATCTCCGGAAAAAAAGACATTGCTCCTACAAGCGCACGAGGATTGATAAGCCCATTTCTGAGTTTTCTCTAGTTCTCTCTTTTTACCTTTCCAATAAAATACTTGAATGAATGGTAAGGAATTTAGCTTATTAATTCAAGAGAACATCACCTCAGAGAATCCATTACTATGCTCACCTGATTTTTCCTGCCGCCATTTGTCGTTAGTGCTTTTTGCTTTACCGAACTGGCTCGCCTGTGCTTGCTTCACGACGTACGCTGAGTAGATCGGGATTCCATACTGGAGATCAAACATGGTTGAATAAAAGTAAGCAAGTTTTCCAGGAACTTGCTGACATATGTATATGATGTTTGTGTGGTCTTTGCGAAATCCTGACGGAGGTAGGCTGCTGGCAAAAAAGGTTTTATAGCAAGTTTCGATCTTTCCAGAAACCTTAGACCTTCGACGTCTTATAAGCTGATGCTCGTTATGAATGTCTCCAGCCGCTTCCTTGCTCCAATCCCAGCCATCTTTTTGAGAGATATCAACATTGTTTAGACAATTTATTTAACAAACTAAAAAATCTAATTACATAAAAAAACAGATAATAAGCTATCGGAATGAGGTTAATCGAACAGGAGTATTGAGGATCTCTAAAATACGGCACTGATAATATATACACGTAATCAATAGTTTAACAAATGATACGGGCGGATATTTTGCGAGTTGTGTAGTTTTTTTCCGAGCCCCGTACGACCAATGAAAAGGTGGGGGGTCAATTGCAATACTTGCACCCCTTAACCAGGCCTGTCACGCATCTTGCATTGTCATGTAACGCTCTCTACACGTGACTAACATATATCAGCAATTATCACAATAATAGAACATTAATAATCGGGGAAAAAAAAGCATAAAAATCCTATTCGCGAGCAAATATTTTCTTTTTTTATTAACTGACAGTGTATTTTCCAAACTTTAAGCGTTATGAATTCCTTTGACTAGTACTGTCGTCACCTAAACTGTTTGTAAATGCATTTTTTGGGCAGATAAATTATTTGAAAATTGTGCAAAATTTCACTAACCAGGATAAAACTAACAGAAGGCAATTATCTACCTGGAATATCGGTACAGGTTGTGTCCTCGAAATTAATAAAAAGGCCATATGTTACTCCGTTGCGAATAAATGTCGAGGAAGACATTCGATTGCCAACATCCCACAAAGAAAACGAGCAACCTTAAACGACCTCATCTGAAGACAGGTACACTCAAATGGTTTAAAAAAAACCAGATCGGCCTATTGTTATTAGGTCATTTTCGTAAAAACACGTGCATTTTGTGATTCTGAAACCGCCAACTCGACGTTGCAAGGTGTCCTTAGGTTTACTCTTACAGATTAAGAAATGTCAAACACAAACCAACGATAAGTTTTGCTTTTTGAATTTGTTTGAAGAATAAAACGTGCGACTCGCTAAGGAAAACATGTGATAAAATAAATGTCAATATGAAATTGAATCATACTTGAATCACACGCTATTTTCGGTTTTTGGTGTTTTCATTATCTTGGAGTGCTAGTCATAGTTTCTGAGGGGTTAATTGACCTTTCTGTTAGTTAAAAACTATCAATTATTAATCGACCATGTGGACTTTATTTGTAAATGAAGGCTGAAAATTGTACAAAATTTCACTAACCAGGATAAAACTAACAGAAAGCAATTTTCGTTGCGGAAACAACACCAGCGAAACCGTTGAAGTGTTTCTTTATGACTTACAAAGAACTCTGATGTGCTCTACAATTTCATACTGTGGCAAATTTTGCGCGTTCTCATGACCTTATTTGATGAAATGACCTACTAGTAGAATGATAATGGCTGTTATCATTAATTAAAGATGGACGATAATAGATAGTTCAAAGTCATCCGCGGCTAGAATGTGAATATAACCGCGGCTAGAATGTGAATATAACCGCGGCCAGAATGTTAAGTAAATCAAATTTGTTTCAGCTAATTCTAGATTTTTCTTCGTAGCACATGCGCTGCCTCTTTTTAAAATTGGAATAAAGAATGGTTAGGGAAAAGTAAGGACGAGATTAATATCCATTTACAAATCCCCTAACTGCCGTTTATTTAGTTCAAATTCGGATCTGAGTCATTCTGAGCTGCCTGACTAATCAATGATGATGTCCTTTATAATTTGAGCTCCTAAACAGACAAAGCCCATATTGCAAGCCATAATGTTCAGCCGATCTGATCCCCGCAGTGAGAGATTTATTTGTATCGTCTCATAACTTTCTCAATATTTTAATCAAGGTAAACATTAATTCTCACCTTTAATCTGGATGTTATGCAGACTTGTTGTCGTTTTGGCATGGGTGTAGGTCTGGAAAACAGTTGTGATAATCAAATAGTGTAAAACTGAGGTAAGTAAACTCATCTCAAGCGGTTTGTCCCGAACAGCTCTAAGGAAAGCGAAGTTTCTTTTGTGTCTTCAAGTCAAGAGACTTAGCTTAAAGATACTCGACATTATAAATAATTGATACAGTGAAGTCACGCCCATCAAAATGCTAATGCATGTCCCACAATTCTTTTACGGTGAACTCACCTAACTTTCATTTAACGGCAACCGGTAACTAACCTATCGGATATCTTTTATCATCACTGGCTCGCTAAAGACAAGGCTATTGAATACTCTATTACCGTTGAACGCAAATTCCTAGGTTTTATGAGTTTTCATATGTGAAGCTTTTGATCACAGTTCAATATCATTTCCAGTAAATTCCAAAGATACTTAGTTCGCACGAACTCAGAAAAGCAAAATAGGATGAAGCGACACCGCGATCAATGATCTCCTCTTCAACTTAAACTTTTTAATAATTGATAGCTTTTAACTAACGGAAAAGTCAATTAACCCCTCAGAAACTATGACTAGCACTCAGTGATATGTTGCACATCTTGAAGATGTGCAACATATCACTGATGAAGCCGACGGGGAAAATTATTTAATTTACATCGCTGTACATACTTTCAAACAACGTATAGGAAAATAATTAACTTATGAAAACTTAATCCACTGAATCTACTGCCCTAAATAAAGAAACTGCATGAATATGAAAATATTGATGGGCGTTTCGTAATGATCTCAGAGGAAGTTGAATCACTCGCTTTTCTAGGTTTTTGGTGTTTTCATTATCTTTGAGTGCTAGTCATAGTTTCTGAGGGGTTAATTGACTTTTCCATTAGTTAAAAGCTATCAATTATTTATCGACCGTAGCGAATTTATTTGTAAATAAAGTTTGAAAATTGTGCAAAATTTCACTAACCAGGATAAAACTAACAGAAGGCAATTATCTACCTGGAATATCGGTACAGGTTGTGTCCTCGAAGTTAATAAAAAGGCCATATGTTACTCCGTTGCGAATAAATGTCGAGGAAGACATTCGATTGCCAAAATCCCATAAAGAAAACGAGCAACCTTAAACGACCTCAGCTGAAGACAGGTACACTCAAATGGTTTAAAAAAACCAGATCGGCCTATTGTTATTAGGTCATTTTCGTAAAAACACGTGCATTTTGTGATTCTGAAACCGCCAACTCGACGTTGCAAGGTGTCCTTAGGTTTACTCTTACAGATTAAGAAATGTCAAACACAAACCAACGATAAGTTTTGCTTTTTGAATTTGTTTGAAGAATAAAACGTGCGACTCGTTAAGGAAAACATGTGATAAAATAAATGTCAATATGAAATTGAATTATACTTGAATCACACGCTATTTTCGGTTTTTGGTGTTTTCATTATCTTGGAGTGCTAGTCATAGTTTCTGAGGGGTTAATTGACTTTTCTGTTAGTTAAAAACTATCAATTATTTATCGACTATGTGGACTTTATTTGTAAATGAAGGTTGAAAATTGTACAAAATTTCACTAACCAGGATAAAACTAACAGAAAGCAATTTTCTAATCGGAACATCTGTACAGCTTGTGTTCATGTAGTTAATAACAAGGTCATGTGTTACTTCGTTGTGAATAAATGTCGACGAAAACACTCGATTGCCATAATCCCACAAAGAAAACGAGCAACCTCAAACGACTTCATCTGAAGACAGGTAGACCAACATTGACTGACCTATTGTTATTAAGTGATTTTCGTAAAAGTACGTGTATTTTTGTGATTCTGAAACTGCTCAGTCGACGTATCAAGGTGTTCTTCGGTTTTACTCTTGCAGATTAAGGAATGTCAAACGCTAACGAACGATACATTTTGCTTTTGGAATTCCTTGAAGAATAAAATGTGCTACTCGTTACGGAAAGCATGTGATAAAGTAAGTGTAAATATGAAATGGCAGGCTTAACCTTGTTTATGTGGGGCGATAGGAACATAGAAGCGTATTGACAGGAACCACACGAAGTTTTTCAGGGACGACACTCGTGTATAATGACAATCCAGCTGGTAAATGGCACTCGGTTGAAAGTGGCTTATTGATCTACTGCATGTACCAGTGCACCAGTATTTTGCCATTCTTAAAAGAAAGATTGAAAAAAAAACCACGAAAACGAAGTTGAGAAGCTGACATTCCGAACATCAGCCGTCCTTGGTAGCCAAGCTGCGGCGATTTATTTTATTTACCCGGTGAACAAAAGCCTTTGTGAAATTTTAGACAACGCTAGCCGCTGAAAACGGTTGGGCATGCAAATCTCAATTATGGAAACAGGGTGTCACCATCATGGCAACGATGTAAATAAGTTTTAAAACTTTGAAATTTGTTTTGAATAAAACATAATATATCTATAAAACTACCACTAATATGGATTTTATATAACTTTCTTTACTTGAAAATGATTTTAACGTGAGAAAGCACATGTTACGACAATCATGCATAGTGGAAACTTGTTCTGTAGACGCCCGCCAAAGACAGGCATCTTTCAAGGTCCTGATTAAAAGAGCAATAACCCACTCTACAGCGTATATATACGTCTAGCTATCTTCCCAATAACGAACATTACTTAAGCAGTAGTGAAAAGTATGTTCATTACTGCGAATATCGCTGTAATAGTCATTTCTCAATCCACAGGTCACATAAATGCTTCTCATGTAATCACAGTCATTGTATTGAACGTGCGGAGCCAAGTGTGTGTATTTATTTCATTAGTTTTCGTGTTGTAAATAACTTGGTGAGAGCCAAATTTTATCACTCTTGAAAAAAAAAAGCTAAAAACTCTCTGTTTAATTTTTCTTTTTTGTCTTGTATACCCTGTGTTCATATAAGCCCTCTGTGAGCTCCTCCGTTTAATTTATTTTGCTTGTGCTGTATATTGCCGAAAGCAAGTTTGTGAATAAGTGCTGAAAAAAAGGGCGTCTGGGTGTGCTGGCTTGTGCCGTAAATCGACAATCACCGAATGATGTGTTTATATTTTGTTTCCTTTGTAAATTGGTGATATCCAGAACTGTGTATAATTTATTAAAAAGATGACGTGTAACTCAATATGAAGTAACCTTGTTGATATTGAATGCTATATGCGTATTATCCTGTGTGTATCCCGTGTAGCGCTATGCTGACGTGTCCACATGATCAGAAATAGAAATTGCTTATTGTTTGTCAACTGTCCGTTCACTCGGTTTACTAAAACCGTCCAAACTGAATTGTCAGATAATAGGCTCATGAATTTTAGAGCTGGGATTATGATTTATAGTATCAAAATATAATTGATTAACAAGTAACCAAAGGCAGAAGAGAATGATCAAGGTCGTTTGTTTACCCTAGCTTTCCACTGTCACAGAAAAAAAAATTGGGAATGATTAAATCCACTGAAATCTGAAAAGGATATGTTCGTTTTAGGTCTAAGTATCGAAATGACATAAGTTTGAGTCCTCAGGCCCATAATTAAAGAAAGTGCTATTTTCATTCCGCTCTGGTGAACTTAAAGGGCTCCTCGTCACACTTCACAGAATTTACATACAACATAAAGGTTGTTTACCGAAGGATTACTCGACAAGATTGTATTCAGACTCCAAAGAAAGAAGAACGTAAAAAGCACTTGTAACATAACAGCCTTTGCTTCACCTCCAGAACCATACTTTACATTAGACATGTAATGAAAATGCTGAATAAATTTAGCCGTCTCGTCAGGATTAATGAATAAAGAAAACAACCGCGTTCTTTCGTAAATACAATGTAGTTCCATGATATACTTGAGTTAAATAGAAAACGATATTGAGGTAAACTTTACTTCCATGATAGTCTCTCTTTTTTTTTCACTCTGAGTCTCGATGAAACTATAACTTCACTTTTTAATGTTTAGGAGTTCTCAGCCTAGCACTCGGCATTTCATGGAATCGCTTCAGTTTCGCACTCTATGCCGGAAGGATATGTTGAGGAAGGACCTCAAAACTCGATGTCAATTTGTTTAGGTTTTTGAGAGTTCGATGAAAATTCTAAGAATTTGGTTACGCGATAGGCGTCCTGAAACACCTTGTTCCGCGCTGTGCTGACGTGTCCATGTGATCATCAATAAAACTTGCTCATTGTGTACCAACTGTCCGTTCACTGGGTTTACTAAAACCGTTCAAGCTGAATTGTCAGACAATAGGCTCAGAAAATTGATGCTGGAATAGTTAATTACTGCCACCATCAATAGAAAAACTGACGAAGGGAATAAGGTCCAGAAGATTCTTTTGTAACAGAACAAAGGTGACCGGGAATGAATAACAAGTAGTGATACAATACAATACAACCTTTATTTATGTGTCAAATCTAAAATAGCAGTTATACAACCACTAACTGGGGACACTAAATACTACCTAAAAATTTGAGAAATTTAAAAATAAAACAATATATATGTACAATTTAAAATCTAACCTAAGTCTTACATAAAAGGCAGTTTTCACATTTACTATCAGTCAATTTAGAAACAAGGTCTATTCTACGTATGTTACATTTAAAAGATGATATGGATGTCAGTTCTCTTACATTTCTTGGTACAATTGCCCATATTTTGGGTCCCATATATCTAAGCGAATGTTTTCCAAAAGTGACAGTATTAAATCTAGGTATACCAAAATCATTATTACGCAGTGTGTACCTAAGTTGTGGAATTTGAAAAAGGCTACATATGTAATTAGGAGATAAATTGTTCTTTACCTTATACATAAGAATGGCTATGTCCTGTAGTCTTCTGTTCTGCAGTGTACTTAGGTTAGCCATGTCTAATAATTTATCATAACTACTCCCCTTATCACAGTAAACTGCCCTAAGTGCCCTTTCTTGAATACGTTCCAATTTTCTAGTATCACTCGCCCTACAAAAATGCCAGACAAGATGGCTGTATGTTAAATACGGAAGAATGGCTGCCTTAAACAACTTCAGCTTGGTGTCTGTTGGTATCATATTCCTGAGCCTCATCAGGACTCCAACACGCTGGCTACTCCTCTTACAAATGTTAGCAATGTGTTCATCAAATTGAAGCCTATTGTCTATATATACCCCAAGAAGT